TATGGAACGATTATAGGTCTGGCATTTGAAGGATCTTCTTGAGTTCTGGTCTCAGTTTATTATTTATGTTTAATTTAGTGGCCACGTGCGGGAAATGACTCTATTATTACTGGAACTTGGTACAGTCGTGGCTCTTATATGATTTTGTTTTAGATATTATTTTGCATACTTGTGGGGATGAGGACTTACTCTTAATGTAAAATATTTAATAACTAGTATTAAAAAAAACGCATAACAGTAAATTGTATTCAAAGTATTAAAATATTTTTTCCAAATTATGTAGGGTATATTTTATTGAATAGTTTTTGGAATAGTTTTTAGGGTATATTTTGAGCAGTGCTAAACTTGTTCTATTGTTCTTGATCTTTTTATATTTCATTTATAATTAAATGTATGTATATCAAGAAAATCATTGAATTATATTTTGATTAAAATAATTTTAAATCAAAATTATTTAAAATAGCAAAGGCCAATAGTTTTCTCTACTAAAGATAGTAGGTTCATCACTCTTTGTAAATAAACTTAAGTTTCTGATAAGAATTTCACTCTCAGTTTGCAAGAAAACAAACCCGTTTTCTCATATTAATTTTACTATTTATATAAAACTATTTCAATTATTATTCATATATATTCTTGTATGTATTATTTTTATACATTTTCAAACATTTTTTGAGCTTGATGGGTAGGTTCCTAATTATAAACTTATTAAATAATTTCATATTATCTTATGCATATTTCTTTTTTCTTAAATAATCCATATTTTTATCTACTTTTATTTTTACGAGTCCTTCGCCATTTACGTTTTATAGTTTGTCCCAAGTGATTTTTTCGATGGGCTCCACTTAATACTAATCTAGTTAAACGAGTTCTTGTGGAATTATGATTCTCCTGTATAAAATAAATTTTATATCATAGTTTATTTATATAAAAATTAAATAAAAACTCACCTCAAGTAAAATATTTGGAATAATTTCTGTAGCGGACAAACTATCTCTGTTTTCGGCAGGATCTTCCTCAGATTCTGAATTTTCAGAGTTCAATAAACCTCGAAATTGTGTAAAGTGGAAGTATTCTCTTCTGTCGTAGACAGTTTTCTATATAAATAAAGGTTTTTATTAGAAATATTATATCATATTATTATTAGAAATACGATCTACCCTTAGGAACAATTTTAGAAAATTATATTTACTGAAAAAGCTTTTTTTATTGATTCAAAAATGACAGAACATTTTTATTTTTCTTTCTTATTAAAAAATCGAAGTTCTTTTTTAGTAACTTACCTCTTCAGGCTCCGATTCTACTCCATTGAGTAACAAAATTAATCCACTGAATATAAACAGCTTTAAGTAGTAAAAGTAGCTCTGCATTCTGACCGCTTCCCTTGAGTTGCACATCGAGATTGATAGCTCCAGAATAATTCCAGTGTCTGAAGCTCACGAAGAACGCATTTTCCGAGACTGCAATTCAGATAGCGATGTTTCTTCCGCTGGCATCGGGCATTATTCTGCTAAGAAATGCAATTGAAGTGATAAGAATAAGCAAAACCCAACTGCCTCTCAGACATTTGCGTAATTTTGTTGCTTTTGCGTAGAATCCATTAACTAATGAAAGCGATCCAAATACTTTGCCATTTTTATTTCACATTTATTTTTGTATTCACTCTCGCGATTCCCTTCCTGTCCTTTTTCGCATTTTAATTTCATTGAGTTTATACAACAATTTGGCCCAAATGTTCCACGGCTCAACCCTCTGTCAAGTTGCCCTCCCAGGATATGTGTCCTGAGGAAGGACACATTTAATGGCATGTCAACGTCTGTGCTCGCACGTTGGCATTTATTGATACGTCGCTCAGTTAACAAGTCGATAAAGTTTTATAGTTGAGGGTCTCAGCTGTGAAATGGAAATGCAATTGCCAGTGTCATAAAGGGGAAAACAAAGGCGATGGAAAAGAAAAGTTGGAAAGAAACCCACCTGGAAATCCTTCGCTTCGCTCGCACTCGGCCATATGGCTAATTTCCTGGTCTGCCTTCTAATTTTTCAATTTTGAAAATAAAGACAAACTTTTCACAAAGCCCAGCGAACAATGCAATTATCAAACTCAAAGGCAAAGTCGTTCTCGTCCTCGAGTTCACAGGGGGGGTTGGCCAGTAAATTGATTAGAGAGGACTTTTCCCCTTTTTTGTACTTTGGCCCCTGGAAAGTAGCTCAAATTGACTTTATAATTGTCAGGTGGGCGTGGCCATAAACCAATTACTCCGCCCATAAATAAAAAAGAAAAATATAGAAAATAAATGCATTGCTTCTGCGGTCGCCAGTTGGCCGATGTTTTGATTGACACTTGAATTGTTAGAACAACAGATGGGAGGTTTTCTTGTTAGGTTACTTAATAAGGTTGTTAAATACTCATTTAATTTATTAATAGGGGTTTTATTTATATTACTTAACCCTCTTAAATGGATTTTCGTGATTGTTTGGATTAGGGATAATGACTGAAAACAAATGCATTTTGATATTGTAAATAAAACAACAGAACTGATATTCTATACTTCAGAGACTGTTTATACTTTATAAATTTCTTATGGTAGAAAATATTATATTAGCTTATAAATTAAAGGTAAGCTATATTTATATAAGCTTTATGATAAAACTTATTCAGAGTTGGAGTATTGGAGTCAAAAAATTATCAAAGTACTTAAGTAAAGTAAAGTCTTACAAGTTGTTATATATAATTTATAATTATTAGTACATAAATATGTATAACATAAAAATATTTAACTTATGGTTGTAAATTAAATTGCATGATACCTTTAATGTGAAAAATGTTGTATATACTTCTTAACTTATTAATTATTTTGTCTAAAACCAAATCATAGTTCAATCTAATCTACAGATACTTTACTTTAACTATATACCATTTGATATATATAATATATATATTCTACCATATATCCCTTAATACTTCCCAAGACTAACCATTAATTGAAAATCTCCCATCTTGACTTCATTGAGAGGGTTGTCGTAGAAGAAAAAACCGGTTATCAAAGTTATATATTGACCATAACTGATCCCTGAGTAACTAACTCTCCGTCTTGCCTTTCAATGTCATTCATGTTTGCCAATTTCCATATCTATGTGTATGTGGTTCAAGGTTAAACAAAAATCGCCAAAAGCCCGATAATGAGCTGAACAAGCATATATTTATGTATACAAATATAAATATATCTCTGGCGCCGCCGAGTCTTGAATCTGTCTGGATCGGGCTTCGCCAGCTGATAAACATCATGAATATTAATGCACGCATATATCATATATCATATATCATATAGTAATCACCGAAGGCATTAAATCAAAGCCCGGAGTCGGAGACAGACTCAGAGAGTCAAGTTCACTTTCACTGCATGACGCACGGGGCAATGATGAGCCGAGAGTCGCGCTCTTAACTGTTTTTCACTCGCTTTTGGCCAATTTTGGCCAGTGGCCCACTGGCAATCGGACACAACACCTGCGCATCGCATACAAATGGCTTGGATTGGCACGGAGCTGGCTATTTTCGGATTTTCGTAGTTTTCGTATTCTTTCAATTTTTGGATTTTGTTTTTTTGATGGAGGAGGCCTGATGAATGGCCTGGCATCGATTTTTGGCGTCCGATTTGGTTTCGTTTTATTGTGTCAACATGTGGCTTTTGGCAGCCATTGCATCACTTGACCATTATTTTCGGCCACGTTTTCGAGTGCACGCGAATGGCGGGTGAAAGCAAAGTGTGGCAATCAATGACGACATCAACCTGACCGCAGATCCAAAACTGCACCAGCGGGTTTGACCAGCTGGTGGAGACGTCTGGCAGCGATCAGCGAACAGCTGATGGTCATCATCACAAAAGCCATCGATCGATAAAGTATCAATGGGTACACTCAGAGAAAAAATTAATGGGAATTTTAGGCTATATTTGTCAAAAAAGAAGTGATACTTTTAATATAAATTGTAGCCATACTTGTGAAATATTTTGTAGGATAGTAGAAGTTCTGAAAACTGGAAAAACATGGCAGCTTCAAAACCATAAAATATTTAAATTCAGGGTATTATAATTTAGTTAGAGGTTAGCAAACGCAGTGAAATAATCATTTCCGACCCTATAAAGCATATATATTCTTGATCAGCATGATCAGCAGAATCGATCCAGCCATGTTTGGAAGAAAACAAATTTTTTTAAATTTTTTCAAAATTTTATAAGGGGTTACATCGATAAAATTGGAAAAAATTTAGCAAAAAATTTTAATTTTTAATTGAGTATGCAGATTTATTAACCTTGCAAAAACTAGCATAGGAAAGTTTTCCGAATTAAAATTAATGCATTTTTAGCCAAGTTGTGATCGATTTAGGATTCCAATTTAAAGCTGAAGGGTATATGAACTTCGGCTACCCCGAACTTAGCTCTTTTCTTGCTTTTACAGGTTGAAGGTCATTTACCATAATATTTATTTCAATTAAATGGTTAAAAAATTGTTCATTTATAAAATTTCTAAAGTTATAATTCAATATAATAAAACCAAAGATTTTAATAAAATCATAACCTCAAGGGTTATATCAAATTCCAAGAGATTAAACAAATTTTAATTTTTCAGACTTCAAAATTAAAAAAAATCAGAAATATAATATATTATAATAAAGTATATTAATAAATTATATTAAAGCATACATTTCAAGACATATCTGTATTATATTTTGAGTCTAATTTAAGACCAATAAAATGAAAAACCCTTAAAAAATTTTTGATCAATGACTAGTACCCTGAAATATGATATTTACCAATGAAAAATCCATAATTATAATGACTCAACTATAGCTTTTCCTAGTTTTCCGCCGCCTGGCTAATAAAAATTTCATGGAGCGTGTAAATAATTGAGTAGTTTATTTAAATAGAAACATGTTTTTCAGACTTTTGTTAGCTTGCACACACTCTGGGCACACACTCAAAACACTCACATTCCGCACTCACTCACTCACTCACTCACTCACACGCTTAACCAAATAGTTGATGGCTGTTAGGTAATTAGCAAAATATGTACAAATATGAACGGGATGCAAATAGATCTGAATATTGGATCAGAACAGCTGCCCCGCCCATTTTAATTAGGCGCCAATTGTTCTTCCCTTTTCGGAAAGTAGAATTATAGAAATCTGACGTCAAGACAGCTGCTTTTGCTGCTGTTTCTGTTGCTGCGATTGCGTCTGTTGGTTCTTGGCCTTTTCCATCTGGACAACGCCCTCGATCCAATCCGTGTACTCTGCCACATTTGTGTACACCGCCGGTTTTCCAGCCATTCCACATTGAGTGAATCCATAGCTGACCACACCGTGGGCCACCCATCGTGAGTGCAACCGGTCAAAGTACATTAAAGGACCTCCAGAGTCTCCTGCACACGTATCCTTGGCGAACTCCCCACCGGCACAGATCTGTTTCGGACCCAAACGGACACCAAAGGCCTCCAGAATCTTGGTGCAGTTCTCATTGGAAACGTAGGGAATCCTTAGCTTTAATTTGATGGGACTATGGATGTTGATGAAGTATTTGTTGACTGAAAATAAAAGAAAATGGGATTAATATTTACATGAATTTCGAGATATTTATGCTTATATTCCACTTCCTTTAACTTAATCATTAATTCAAAGTTATGCCAAAGTCAAAGAATTTTTCCTTATTTACCTTTAACAAACTTTAAAAGTTTGACGCATGTATTCTCTTTGTATTCCAAGAATTTGTATTTAAACAAGACAATGAAATGATTTTAATGACAACAAAACAAGTCACAGAATGGGAAAACCAAGTTTTGTTTTATGGGAACTTAAAAAGTGGTAAACACTATTATAGCTTAGTTATTTTCCTTAATTGTTCTTTACTTAATAAAGTCGACATTGTTTTGTTGAAATCAAAACAAATATAAATAGTCTGAAGGGGAACTTTCAGCCTAAATTTTGTTTTTGAAAACAAGAATTTTTACGCTATATTTTTTACGCAATTATCTGTAACTCTTTTAGGTTAGATATATACTCACACAAATCCGTTCTTCCCCAACCGGAAACCGAAAACATCTGACCCTCGGCTAAGGTCAAAGGCTCCGTTCTATTGGGCAGACATATTGGCATTACAAAATGCGTAAAAGATACGGGATGCTTCAGTCGAATAATAGCTATATCATTGTATTTATAATTGGAAAACTCCTTGTACTCCGGATGCACATGGATTGTCTCATAACCTATATCCAAGGCGGCATCGGCACAGCTCAAGTAATTTGGTTCCTCAATGCAATCCGGCTCCGTTTTAACATTAAATTCACCCAAACGAACATGTTTTCTAAAGGAGATAAAGGGTTTTTAATTGATAATTGATTTAGGGAATTATATATATTAGAAGATACTTACAATCCCCTTCGATCACGTACTCCTTCTCCTTGAACACAATGGGCGGCTGTGAGAATATGACGATCATCAATCAAGGCGCCACTGCAGCCATAATCATCTGGTATTTGGGGGTTTTTTATATTTAATAATTTATATATTAATTTCATTCTATAACCAAGACTCTTCTTAGACTTACTTGAGTTGTAGACGAGCAGTGCCAGCCAGGGATACTCATCCAGTTCGGCAATTTCACCGCCATAGATCCTATTGGTCACCTGTTTGCCACACTCATTGAGCAGATTAAATCCAGAACTAGGTTCCACAGTCTGAATGCGACGCTTTAACTTTTTACGCTTAAACCGAGAAGTCACGTCCAGGAAACGCCGGTACTCAAACTTGGAGAATTGCAGAACAGGAAATAGATAATCCTGACCATTGGCAGGACAACAGACAAGGGATTCATAGGCACTTTCAGTATCCCCCATCCTCTGCTCCATATCACACTGAACCTTCTTGAGGAAGTTCACCTTTTCCGCCGGCAAATTTGTGGCATTTCGCACCTGAAGATATGCCGCACATTTGCTGACCTCCAGGCAGATGCCTCTCTTCGATTCATTGGGAATATCACATTGCTGATAAACCATATCCCTTAAATCGATCTCAGCCAATGTCAACAAACAAGAGCTTAAGAAAATCCATAATTGAAGAAACGAACTAAGCTGCATTGATATATGAATATATAGATATATAGATACAATCTGCAGATGCAGTATCCACGAGATGAAGCGGCGGCTAAGGCGTACAAACCGAAACTGAATGGCAACTCAGTTCGTGTGAGTAGAGTGCCAAAAAAATATACAAATAAAAAATATATAAATACAAATTAGCCGAACTCGAAGCCGAAGACCCCAAAAAAAGATCGGATAGGTCGGAAGAGCCGATCAGCCGAAGAGCCGGCTCCGAAGCTACGCTCAGGTGTCAACAGGTGACACCGCCCCCGCCCCATTTCGACGCTTTGGAGCTCAGTTTCGGGCCGACAAAGAAACGAGTCCAAAAGTGCAGTCGGCAGATCGATCGATCGTTTGGCCGGATGGTCCGGTTATAATATATATTGCATAATCGAGGTAGCTCAGCTGGCCAGCTGGTTTCACTTTCGTTTGAAGGTGAGAGAGTGTTGCTTAGCCGGCTTTGAGCCCCAAAAGTATTGCCCACTTTCAGGGCGGGCTTTAAAAAAACAGGTGATTGGTAATCCACTGAGATTAATGGTTATAGTTTGAAGGATTGAAACAATATTTTAAATAACTAATCAATTAAATAAAATGATAGATAGATAAATAAATATATAGATACATTGATCTAGATATAGATAGTTAGATAGATAGATAGATAGAGAGATAGATAGATAGATAGATAGATAGATAGATAGATAGATAGATAGATAGATAGATAGATAGATAGATAGATAGATAGATAGATAGATAGATAGATAGATAGATAGATAGATATATAGACAGATAGATAGATAGATAGATAGATAGATACATATATAAAAACCTAAATAGATAGATAGATAGATATACATATAGTTAGATAGATAAATATATATATGGATATAGATTGATATAGATTAATTGATATATAAATAGATAGATAGATACATATGTAGATAGGTTCATAATAATCCTAGTTTGGCAAGACAAATATTGTACACTCAATCACTTTGAAACTTGAAACAGAATAACATAACAACTTCAATTTTATTACGTATAAAAGAAATTATCATATGAGTAGCTAAATAAATAACATAACTAATAAAACTAAGATTAAACGGTTTTAACACATACCTATATTTAAAAACAAATTTCAAAATTAATTAATTAACTTCTATAACCTTGCGGGGTACTATAATTTCAGTGCGAAGGTTATTACACATTGAAGGAGTCATTTCCGACCCCATAAATCATATATATTCTTGACCAGCATTAAAAGCCGAGTCGATCTAGCCATGTCCGGTGGAAAATAAAAATTTTCAAATTTTTCAACATTAAATCGTTAAAATTGTCACAAAAAATAGACAAAAATTAAAAAGTTTTTTATAGTTTAAATAAAATAAGCAGATTTATTAATCTAATAAAAACTAACATAGGAAATCTTTCCGAATAAAAATTAGTGTTGTTTTGGCTTAGTTATGATGTATTTTCTCTAAAAGGATATAAGTTATTTCGAATTAAAATTTGCATGCTTATAAAGATGTTGAAATATATCCTCAATCACCATAAATTATAAATTACTTAACATTTTTTTAAGTAAAACAATATTTTATGATTTTTTTGCACTAGACTTTTAGGCTTTACTTTGCCAATGAAAAGCTCTCTCACAACTTGAGTTTTGGCCAAAGTCCATGGAATAAACAAAGACACCTGCCAATACCGGAAGTTTTCTTGTGGTTTCTGTGGCCATAAAAGCCGCCAATTAAAGCACGGTGGCAATGTCATTGGCTGGCGAGTTTGTTCGAGGTGTCGCACTTGGTTTCTGCTGGGAAAACCAAAGGTTTTTCAAACACTTCAATGGGTTTGGATTGAAAACAAACAGGGGTCAAAAGACAAACTGGAAACCAGATTAAGGTTTTCTGATTTAAAGATCTTGTGAAATGTTATTTTAGGGAATGATTTGCAATTTCGACTTATACAAATTATTATTGAATATAATTTGTTTTTGTTTTTTTATTATTATATTTTTTTTTTTGTATGGAACATCTGCTTTCATTTTTTATTTTAACTTTCTACTCAATTGTTCTTAATTATCTCAGTTGCATTTCACTTATTTTAAGCTCTGGCTGACCTAAATTAATTGGGGTTTTTTAAATAATCAGAAGTTGTTGTGTTTAATATGAGGTTTATAATGGGATTAAATAAACTGAAATTAATCAGAGATACTCATACCATTGTTTATTTTTTTTTATAAATGTTAGATTTGTAATTAAATACAAAGCATTCGATAAGCTAATATTTTACTCTATTTTATAAATCATAAAACTCAAGGGAAATTCATTTAATTAAACTACTTTATTGGACATATTTATTATAATAATTGTATAATCTACACTAACTAATTTAAGAGCTTAACTAAAGTATAAAAACAAAGATCACATTTTGAGTATTGAACCCAGGGAAATATATCATTCCCTAAGCTCTGACATTCTGCTTGATCCAGATATCATAGGCAGCAACGTTTGTATAAACTCCTGGCCAGTCCTTCAGACCACACTTGTAGCCAAAGGACACAATGCCCTCCAGGACCCAAGAATCTCCACGGAATCGCATCAATGGTCCTCCAGAATCTCCATCACAACTATCCTGTCCAAACTGTCCACCGGCACACAGTTGTGTGGACTCAACGGCAATTTTAATCTGTGAGAATCGCTGACGACACTTTGCCGGCTCCACATAATTCACTTCAACTTTCTGCTTAATAGGACTCCGGGCCATCTTCAGGGTGCGACCCCATCCAGCAACCGTAAAGGATTGACCCGACTGACGCATTTCCGGACCCACAGACGAGGGCATGCAAATGGGTCGAATATTGTCCGTGTATCGCACATTCCGATCCAAGCGAATAAGACCAATGTCATGGAGTTGGTTCTTCGACTTTTCCGTATATCTTTCATGAACCCGGATCTCCTCGAAACCGAGGCGCTGGGCCTCCTGGGAGCAACCGCCACCGCCGGCGGGACAGTCCACGGCGGTACGTGTGTCATGCTCACCCAATCTCACAGAGGCACTAAAAAAAAAAGTGGGGAAAAATATATATTATAATAAGATGTTACGACTATAAAATACCTATTACTAAAAGAGGGATTTATTATATTAAAAAAATTATAAATGGCATCTATTTGTTTCTAATATTTAAGGGATAATTCTCATAGAAAAAAATATATCAAACAAATAATATTTTAAAGTATAAGTTGACTTAGGCAGTAGAGCATATTATTTAAAATTTAACAACTGTATTAAAAACCTAAAAATAAACTATATTGCATACCCTTCCCTAACAACTAATATACCCTTCGACTCCATATACCACAAATAAATGAACCGGAGCAAAACTCAATGAATGAGCATTTAAACGCCGACAATTAAACACTAGAATTAACCTGCTAATTGGTGCTTGGCCGACGCCAAAATCGAGAACCCACAGAGCGATATTATATAGTGAATCATCGGAGCGGCAAAACACTTCGGAATCTGGTTTTGTAGCCACCTCTAATGAATATTCTTGAAAACAAGCGTCTAACTCAACTTGGGGATCCCTTTGGCCTCGTTAACTGATTTAGCCGGAGAAGGCAGCCAGGTTCGTGGAATTATTATCGAGCAAAATACAAGCGTGATTAAGCCACTTTCGCTATTGAAATGAAACTGGATTGGAGAGTAGTCGTAATACTAAAACTTGATTCATCCATAATATCGGGCTATTGAACTAGCTTCCATTCATGAATCGATAGGGAAGATCGGTTTGTAAAAATCCCCCCTAATGATATAGTCACAAACATCAACAAACCATTAATAATATGAACATCTTTGGGTTTGAATCTCTAAGAAAGATGTTTTGGTTGGGATCTTTTAGAAAGATGTTTATGTTTAAACAAGAGATAGCCAGTAAAATTCCACACTTAAAGTGTCAGAATCTTGGGGATGTGTCAAAGATGTCTGGCACCAAGACTGGTACCAGGAAAAATCCCCCTTGATGAAGTTAGGGAACTCTGGACTTTGCGGTTGGAATATATATTGCATATGCAAAGCAGGAAATCCCCTTTTGGACTTAAAGAAGTATTTCAATTAATCAGAAATGTCTTAGTTTGAGGCACCTTTTGAGTGGTAATAGAAGTTTACCAAATTAAATTCTATACTTCTGATTATTAATTAACATTTCATCAATAAAATCTCAAAAAAATTATGCAGAGACCACGTAGATATGTATTGATCAATAGTATCTTTGAATAATGCTTTGGTATGTTATATTGGTTTTGAAAAAATGTATCTTAAACTTCTCTAATTTCCCTGAATCCCATTTCGCCTTTATTAAACCCATATATATATATTGTATGTTCTTTATACTCACAGTGTTCCGATTTCCCTTTCTATCCTTCCCGTCAAACAATGGGCCGCTGTAAGGACATAACGCTGATTGATCAGCGATCCTGAACAACTGGTGGCCAGTCCATTACCAGTGCGACGACGATACTCCAATAAAACCATCCAGGGAAACTCATTGAGGTCAGCATCCTCGCCATCATAGATCCTGTTCTTAATGGCCACGCCCCCACAATTGGGTGGCTGTGGCAATAGTCTAGAGCCATCAGCTCCATTGAAAGTGGAAGTCTGTACAGAACTCCTATCTCTGGCTTGCGGCTGACCAAAGCTCCAGGGACGAGTGACTTGTTGATTGGGAAAGGTAAATCTAGTGGGACGCTCTTCCTCCCAATCGCCACCAAAACCTTCATAGTCCGGAAATGAAGGTGTCAATCTCTGTGTCCTTCCGGTATATCCTGTATCTTGAGTGCAACATACAAAAGGTTGCCTATCAGCGCTCATGCCACAAGCTGAGTTCTTGATAAACAACTTTTGCGAATCGGTTAATCGATCCTGCTGCAACACGGAGTACAGTGTCTGACATTGCTTGATTTGTACACAGAAGCCACTTCGCTGGTTGGGATTCAAGCAACGTTGATCTGCAGAAAAAAGATATACATATATAAAAATAAAAATAGATATAAGATGGTACAAGTTGAAATCTGGTTCTTCAGGGGATGCCCCGAAATGCACGCGCCTCCGCCTCTGTTCTGACATTCTTGTGGTTAAGGAGAGCCAGGTGTCTTATTTCTTTTAGATTGATCATGGCACACTTAGCAAAAAATTTATGTCATTAAATGAGTTTACTTTGAAATAAATTAGCACTAAAAATAAATTATATTGTAAAGCGTTTATTAGTATTATTCAAATATATTACTAAATTGTAATTCTCTTTAGTTTGTAATTTCCTGTTGATTTTTAGAAAGTATCTTTTAATAATCACTGCAATTTTCCAACACTCTGGGATTTTTTTTTATCTTCTAAACTTTCGAGTGCAGTCATCATCTTGACCACAAATCTGTCTTGACCACCGGGTTCTGCCCACTTGGAGCTCGTCGCGTGGAGTGTAACCCCCGGTTTTACAACTGGTACAACCGGCTTAATTAGAATCAGGCACTTGACTTCCTCGCACTTGGGCATTTTCCCACAATTTTTTTGGGATTTTACACTCACACTGGGCTTTGGCCTCGTGGGCCAGGCAAAGAAGGCCAAGAAAAACCACCGCGTACAACACTTTCATTTTTGCAAATATTTTTATGTTTTCTTATTAAGTATTTGTGTTTATATTTGTATTTAAATTTAATCACTCGCGAGTTCGATGGTTTCCAGCGGACTGTGCCATACCTGGAGTTGAGTTGAGCTTTTTATAGCCGCCAGCTTGGGACTTCTCTCTCTCTCTCAAGAACCGAGCTCTCGATCGGGTTTATCAACGGAGCGCCACTGTTTTCCACTCTGCGGTTAGATCGTTTATCTGAGGAATACTAGAGTATCTAGTATCTGAAAGATGCGTGTCACTGGGTGACACCGAAGGCTTTTTTTGACTAAAAAATATGCTACAAAATAAATATATGTATATACAAAGGTGCAATGAACTTAGGATGTCCAAGAACTTCAATGACGTTGGTTAGGAATTCCAGCAGTCGTCATATTTTTGTCAACTTTGAAGCGGAATTCGATCAAAGATCATTTCGATATGAGTGAGTCAATCCAGATTTTAAAGAATATAACATATTTCTGTAAAACTATGATCCTAAACATGAAGTTCCTAAGGTTCTTGAAGATATAATCTTTAAGTATATATTTTTGTATCTTAACAACAATCGGATATTCATAAATGATTTAGTTCAAACAATAATTTTATGGTGAACCTTTCATATCCGTTATATATCTCATCTAGGAACTAGACTCTTTCGTTTCTTACTCATCAAACTGGCATGCAATTTGTGTTCTAAATCAACACAAATTACTAATTCACAAATTCAGAGGTTGTAACAATAACTAGGCACTTGTATTACTAAACCTCGAAAGGGATTTGCCCATATTTTGTGATGCATCATCTGCAAGAATCCTGTGCACACGCAAATGTGATATTTATATATAACTTTATAAAGTTATATATATATTCAAATAATGCGAAAATCCAGTGGCAGAACGAACTCTGTCATTCCCCGCAGTTATGTGATTTACCGGCTAACAAGGTTTCAGTTCGTTTGGGTGTCATCTATGTAAACCAGTTCCTAATGCGTTCTGGAAAAAATTTCCATGGCTTGTAAATGAGCTTTGGATTTTGTTTATTGCTCAATGATAAAACATACATATATCTGGCAGCTACCATCTCTGCGGTATTTAAAAGTCAGTGGGCGCCTCCGGAAATATCCACGGGATACTATGCACAATTCGGACATTTGATACTTTCTGGCAAACCCTTTAATTTCCTGGCATTTCCCTTTCATTCGAGGGATCAACATGTTACCGCAAAAAAGGGGTAAATGGTTGAAAGTTGAAAGGCAGCACGCGGAAAATGTCAGCGCCAGATAAACGGGGTCTTTGTGTCCGGAAGGAAAATGGGAAAAGGACCCCGGGTTGAAAAGTCGCGGCTTTTATGCCATTCCGCGATGTCCAATTAGGCGTGGAATATATTTACAAAAAAAGAGGAGGGAGTGTACGCAGCATCCTGCAGTTAAATGAGAAAATAGAAAAAAAAAAAGTAAGGTTGATAATCAAACCCTGTGACAGCGGTGGGATTCGAACCCACGCCCTTTCGGACTGGTGCCTAAAACCAGCGCCTTAGACCGCTCGGCCACGCTGCCGCCTGCCGCCCTCGAGCCAGAAGGTTCTCAACCGTTTCGACAACAAAAAAACCTAAATAATATTCTAAAATCGGAACGTTTCTATTTTTGTGCTGATAATAAGTACGTATGTAATTACTACACACATGCGAGTACCATTTTCCTAACAAAAAACAAAGCATTTAATTTTTTGGAAGGCATAAAAGTTTTGCTCATAAATGTTTAAGCATAAGATAGATTAGCTGTTTAAAAAAAACATAAAGAACTAAAAGGTAAACATATAAAGAAGAATAAAATAAATAACACTACTTAATGACATGTTTTTCTAATGGCTGTCTGTAAAAAATGAGAGCTTTAGTCAAAGGTCTGAAAACAATACCATAATATATTATTTAAAATAGAAGCAATAAATTATTATAACTCCAGACTTGTGTAATTTGTCTTACTGCTTTATTTGAAAAATAAAATACATATATATTTAATTCTGGGTTATTAGCACCTGCTTAATATAAACAAATTCTAATACAAACTAATATATTTTGCGAATAACTTGGCAATTATTACTCATAATAGATTAATACCTAATAAAAGAAGAAATATGTATATTAATAAATTGATTGAATTAATAAATTATTTAAACCAATAACTATATTATATATTTAAGCATTTATGACGTCAAAAAATTGTATAATGTTAGTTTTTTGCTTTAAAAAATTTGTTTTTAAATTTATTTAAATGAACACAAACAATATCTGAATTCTAAAATAGTCTCGGAAAATGCATATATATAAATAATAATAAATATAATATGACTACGTTTTAAGTTAATTACAGCAACGATACAAATCCGATCAATCAAAATACAATTAATTTACAATAAGTAAATAAAATAATCAATAAAGAATATTATTTCAACAAAAAACAATTCACACATGACAGCGGTGGGATTCGAACCCACGCCCTTTCGGACTGGTGCCTAAAACCAGCGCCTTAGACCGCTCGGCCACGCTGCCTCATGCCAGCTTGTGTCAAATGCGCTCTTTGAAGGCAACGCTCGCCAAGTGGAAGGGTATGGCGATTGCTTGGCATAATTTTGGGGTTGATTTCAGGCACAGTGTTGCTGTGGCTTTAGTAGTAGAAAGTAGTAGAAACTAGTAGCAAACAAACATGTTTAGTTATTGCATGGTTTTACTTAAATTTCTCTATCGTCTGAGATAATTTTAGTAAGAAAGAAGTAATACAAGGAAGTACTATTTTACTGCCTAAAATAATAATATAAATTGCGTAATAGGGAGTAGTAAAATTCGCTGTAACAATGGTAAAAAAGTACTTTACGAGCAGCAGGGCCATCGAAGCGATTCTAATTCATTGACAAACGCATTTTGATTTTGCGATAATGAGAGCTGGGTTGGGGGGTTGCTTTTACATCGATTCGGGGACACCTTTGACAGTCAACCTTCCCCTGTCCCTTGGCATTTGACCCCTCTCTTTGAGGTCGCACCCCGCACATTTTGTCGGTTTACGATTTTAGCATTTCGCAAACGACGTAAAAAATGATCCTGTTGTTACAGACGCTTTGTTTTTTTGTATACGCTTACAAGGGGTAATATTATTTGGATATTACCTATGAATTATATTAGTTCATTTGATACCTTTCATAACTTTTTGATATGCAATTCTGTAATACATCTAAAACTTCTATTTAAAAAAAAATATCAAAACATGTATACAAAATACGTATCTGTACAAAGAATCAGGTAACAGCATCTAAATAAATTTATAACTAATTGTATAATAATAAATTGAAACTAAATAAAACTAAAAGTAATAATATTTTCAGCAAGAGTATTCAAAAGTTCTTCTTAATTTATTTCCAACTTACCCACATTCTGTTTTTTTTTTTATATATTCAGAACGGTAGCAGAAGCTACAGATTTTATAGCCTTTTTATGTGGCCATAGTTTCGCTTTCGCTTTGGCCATTTTTACGAGCGTTTTATAACTTGTTTACATTAGGCAAAACGTCACGTAACGGAAGTGCTGGGAACCATTTTATGCAAAAATCTATCAAATTGCTGGCGGGCTGCATAAAAATCGCCATAAAGCTATAGCTTGATTTTAGAATCGAAGCAGCTGTAATGTGGCAAAGTTATCGCAATCTGAGATTCAAGCGATGCAACGAAATGATTCTGCGAAGCGAAACTGTGAAGAATTGGCAATTAAGTTGATTAGTTGAGAATCGAGAGGAGTGTTCTTTTAAAACTATGGATAAATGAGATGAGGCAGGTGAGTCAAACAGTGGGGATCGTGACCTTGTTCCTACTGATGTTACCCCATGCCCTTCGATCCGAGAATAATTCCCTCGATGGTCAGCAGCTCAAGAGAAATGTCGAGAAATCAATGCATCATATGGCCAAAAATCTGGAGCAGGGTCTACCCATTAATCAAGCTGAGACAAAACGCATCTCCAAGGCATTTGTGAGTAAAAAAAATAACAATTCATGGCTCAATTTATTAAATATATAAACCTTAAACTGAAAGTTAAAGTTAAACCTTGAATTACAAATTTCCCTAAACAGCAGCGAAATGATTTTCAGTTTAACACTTTGCAACAAATTTTGAAGAACCGTATTTAAATAAAACTAATTAACCTATGACCTGTTTTCATTCCAGAATAATTTAACCATCAAAGGTCAAAGCAAACTTGACAAAATGGTGTTTAACATTAAATCAAACGATGACGCCCACATTCGACTTTCTAATGACAAAAATAAAACAACTACTGGTAGGAAAAATATAAAAAAGGAGCCAAAATATTTTCTTAATTTTAAATTTAACAATTTAAGACCAAAAGTTTTATGGAGAAGTATTTACTTGCTAAAGAAGTGGAAATGCGACGCAATAGCAGAAATAGATTTCTGCCCAATGGAATGCCAAATCCATATAATTATTTTCCACTCAAAGGCGAAGATATCTAGATACAATGTGAAACTACCGATTTTTCATTTACCTCCAATGCCAGACCACTCACAGATAATAACAAAAAGGAAAGTTATCTTTAAGAAGCCGAAGTGTGTATACCTTCAAAGTTACTTATAGGATCATTGGTTCGAATGTAAAATCGATCATTGTATAGTATGCCTTTAATAAAACCGAAAATATTTATATACTTGGTATATTAAATCAATATACAATTAAAATTAAGTAACGGCAATAAGGGAATTTATTGAAAAATAAATGCATAGCTAGCACAGCTAATTCTAGTCCCACCTATGAATTGCATTAGCCCAGTGATAGTTTTCGGGTCGAAGGGCACTCACTATCACTTCCACTATCACTTTTGATGTTAACAGCTGGGAGGCCGCGGACCAAATGAAGCCAGAGCGGCAGCAGCGCCTCTATTTATAGTCCGTGAGTAAAGAGAAATGAGAAAGTGAGAGCGAGAGAGTAAGAGCTATCACTGTGGATAGGCTGAGAGGGATAGAGAGAAGGAGGCATCTCTAGAGATACACAGATGGAGCTAGACATACGTAGAGAGTGAGAGTAGTTTTTATTGAAGCTATATGATATAGTCCTCCGATCTTAATAAAATGAATACCGAAATTATAAAATAATACAAAACGGCTATATCATTCATTAGATATATGTTGAGATCTGATCTGAACGTTATAATTTTTTTTTTACATTTTCCGATCGTTCCAATTGCAGCTATATGATATAGTCATTCGATCCGGCCCCTTCCGGCTTATATCTAGTGAGAGTATATAGAAGGTAAACAGCAGAATTTCATTCAGATAGCTTAAAAACTGAGAGAATAGTTTGCATAGAAAGAGATCGACTTGGCTGATCATAAATATATATACTTGATATGGTCGGAAATTACTCCCTCAATGCAAACTTCAGACTAAAATTATAATACCCTAAAAAGTATAAAAATAACTCTTTGTGCTTATTCATTTATTATTTAAAAAACCCAAAATAAAGCAAATAATGATAAGAAAAGTGGTCACAACCTATTAAAAAGTGGGGTACATAATGTGTTATCATTCATAAATAGATTTAAATGAGTACTATAATAATTAAATCAAGTGGAATGTCTAAGTAAAAATTGGTTATTGAACTTGAAATGTTGAAGGGCAAATAAATTATAAACTTAATTATTAGAGACCCTAATGTAAACATAAATAAACCAATGGCACGTATTTAATCAAACATTAGACACTTTTCAGATAGCAAGCCAGACATAAACAGAGACATTCCGTGTCTTTATCTTTAATATTTGGGGAACTTTCCTTCCGACTTTTTTTACAATATTATTATTAAGAATGGATCGATCACTTAGTGGGTCTTAGGTAAGAACTTTGAACATTAGATAAAACTGAAAGTGCTATCTAGTTGATATATAAGGCATGCAAAACTGGGTAATTTCTTTAGTTAGAAAACATGAAATTAATAGTAGTCAGTCTGTTGTTGGTGATTTCCCTGCTGGGTCAAACCAGTGCCAAAAGTGTGATTAACAGCCTTGTAAGAGAACAAATAGGAAATTTAATTATAAATATTATATAATTATCCGTCATAGGCCAACGAAATTGGTCAGGATGCCTCTGAGTTTGGACATGAACTAGGGGACGAGGGCACTCAGTTTGGACACGAGGCCTCCAATAGCGCCATTAATTTTGGCCATGAACTTTCACAGGAAGCGGTAGGCTAAAATATATAAATAAAGCAAATTATTTAGTTAAGTATTTATAATTTTTATAGGAAGAGGCAGCCAGCAAGGAAGTCAGTTCAGAGCTGACCAAATTTGGACAGGAAGCCTCCAATAGTACTATAAATTTCGGACATGAACTCTCCCAGGAAGCCGTAAGTCAATAAAATAAATCAATAATAAGCCCATGAATCAACTTTCTTTATTAGGAAAGTGCTCTTAGTCAAGAAATAAGTTCTTCACAAAAACAAGCCTCTGTAAGTTCTGTGATATTTTTATCAAATTTAAATTGTGTTTCTCATTAACTTTTAAAAAACTCTTTTTATTCAGACTTCCTTTGCTGTAACAACGGTTAGTGAAATATTTCAAAATTTTAGAAATTGTTACTCTAATAAATATTTTTGTATTTTAGACATCAGCCACTGGCAAAACTGTTACCAAGGACACAACAGGAACAGCAGTCACCTGTGCTTGTGTATGTAGTGATGGAAGTGCCTCCCAAGTATCCGGAAACGTCTCCAAGGCAGCTGATAAAATTGCTAGTGCTGCTGCCAATGCTGCCAGTAATGTAGCAGGATCAGCTGCCAACGCTGCTCATGATGTAGCCAGTGCTGCTGGAAATGTTGCTAGTTCCGTTGCAAATGCTGCAGGCAACGTTGCAGGATCTGCTGCCAATGCTGCAGGAAGTATCGCAGGATCAGCTGCCAATGCTGCTCATAATGTTGCTAGTGCTGCTGGAAATGTTGCTAGTTCCGCTGCCAATGCTGCCAGTAATGTAGCAGGATCAGCTGCCAGCGCTGCAGGAAGTATCGCAGGATCAGCTGCCAATGCTGCTCATGATGTAGCCAGTGCCGCAGGAAATGTTGCTAGTTCCGCTGCAAATGCTGCAGGTAACATAGCAGGATCAGCTGCCAGTGCTGCTGGAAGTATCGCAGGATCTGCTGCCAATGCTGCTCACGATGTTGCTAGTGCTGCTGGAAATGTTGCTAGTTCCGCTGCCAATGCTGCCAGTAACGTGGCAGGATCAGCTGTCAATGCTGCAGGAAGTATCGCAGGATCAGCTGCCAACGCGGCTCATGATGTTGCTAGTGCTGCTGGAAATGTTGCTAGTTCCGCTGCAAATGCTGCAGGTAACGTAGCAGGATCAGCTGCCAGTGCTGCTGGAAGTATTGCAGGATCTGCTGCCAATGCTGCTGGAAGTATCGCAGGATCTGCTGCCAATGCTGCAGGAAATATAGCTAGTGGCGTAGACAGTGCTGCTCATGATGTCGCAGGTGCGGCTGGAACCCTCGCTCACGATGCTGCTAGTGCTGCAGGAACCATCGGACATGATGTTGCTAGCTCGGCCTCAAATGTTGCTAGTTCTGCTGCCAATACCGCCGGCAATGTTGCTGGGGATATTGGCAATGCTCTCGGCAATATCCTTGGAGGTGTTGCCAATGCTGGTGGTAATATCGCCGGATCTGCAGCCAATGCTGCTGGTAATATTGCTGGAGATGCGGCTAATGCTGCTGGTGATGTTGCTCATGCCGCTGGAAATGCTGCTGGTGATGTTGCTCATGCCGCTGGAAATATTGCTGGTGATGCTGCCAATGCTGCCCAAAACATTGTACACTCAATTACTAACTTGTTTTAAAATGAATCCGATATCGATCACTTTTTAAAATATTTAATCAAATAAAAAGCCAGCAAATTGATTATACTGCAAATGACGGATTTATTTATGAAATTGCACAATATTAAAGAAATAATTGTATTAACTGCCGAACATATGACTGGGTTTATTTATGGCTTCCTTAGATTATAACCCCCTTGAGACTTTCGATAAGGTGAGAATTACCTTAACTGATCAATCGAAATCAGAATGCGCCGCCAATCAATTTGGAATTATTAAGTACTCAAGTCTGATTTGGTTTTATTGGCGGCGTCAAAGAACTACTGATATTAAAAACTCCCACATAGTTTGTAGAGATAAGATTCGTCTATAAATTGCAGCTGTTGTAACAGAAGTGATTCAGTTGTTTTTATTGACTGTACAAAAAGTAATCAAAATGCAGTCCTTAAAAGTCGTGTTTGTTTTCCTCATCGTCCTGGTGATCCAACAAGCCAGAGCTGTTCCCATCAATGGACAGTCGGATGTAAATATCGAATATTATATATATTTTATTATCTTAAACTTTGTGTTTTTATATGCACAGAATGATTATGTTCAACCTGAAGCCAGAAATCTTTTGGGTGATGTCCTGGGAGGAGTTGGCACTGGACTGGGAGATCTGGCAGTAAGTCATATTTATGTTCTTATTTATATTTAATTATTTTTTTATTCGTGTTTTTTGCAGAATGCCATTACCAGTCTTAGTGTTCAACCAAAGTCCGTTTCACAGGCCAGAGATATTTCAGTGAGTAACAAATTTTAATTTTAGTTAACAGTCCTACTAATTTTAAAAATATAAATATTGACACAGCAAATTAATCTTATATATACTTCAAAATTCGATGGGGGTCTTTTTTTTATATATTTTACAAAACTAAAGAACAGGCACAAGCCACAAATTCCCGGAATAAGCTATGTTACCTGATCAATCCATCAAAACGTGCTACATATCGATTTAGAATCATTAATCATTCAATTATAAATTGATAATGTTATTGCTAACCTTAGAGATAAGGATTGGCCCCTATAAATTCAGCGAAGGTAGCCGAAATAATTCAGTATTTTATTGTTAGAAATAAAGAAAAGAACATGATGTCTTTTAAAATTTTCACACTTTTCGCTGTCCTTTTGGTGGCCCAACAGACCTCAGCTGCTTCCCTGGGCGAGCTAATGGGTAATGTGACCGATGTGGCTGTGAGTGGACAAAAGTTCCTCCTCCAACTGGAGATTGCTGTTGGTGCTTCCAAATCGGATTCAGTCGGGACAAATACCACTGCGGATATACTCTGCGATTTGGGTAATTCCTTGGTGGACCTGGCTGTAAGTTAAACTTGGAATAATTGATTTTTTATAATTTATTACAATAATTTACATATTTCCTTAGACCTCTATTACCATTGCGGAGAGTAATGTTCAGCTGGGTTCTTCTAATGTTCTTGGGGATGTCCTGAAGGGTATGGGAACTGGACTTCAGTCTCTGGGAGTAAGTCTCTTTAAGTAGTTTTAAAAAGTATTTTCTAATTACATAATGTTTTTAATTAATTCAATATTATTACAGAGCTCCATTGCCAATGTCGGTAACCAAATAAAGGCCACTGAAAACTGGCTAAATAACTCTTAAGAACTGCTGCTAATCTGACAAATAATGAATTGGATTCCCCTCCAAAACACTTTCAAGCAGTTCAATTAACAAATAAATATTCAATCGTTTAAAACAAACTATACTAAGTGGGCTTCCTTTGTGTTCCAATTTGGGCATAAAAACCATCAACAAGTTGGGCACCAATTAGTTGGGTTTTGGTGAGTTGTTTTGAAATTTAAGAACCATAGGCAAGGTCAAGTTCCAGTTCAAAAATGCGTGCATCTGCTCAAAGACCGAGATCTGATATATCCAGGGATGGCTAGAATAGAATGTAAAAAGGGGTCAAATGATACGAAATCGGAACACGTGATTGCCAACAACATTAGGGGATCAAGTTACACGAAAAAAATACAAATAAAAGCCAGCATAAGGAGAAGTAGGAAGCGCCATACACACATGGTGGCTTTTGAATAATTTTTATTATGACAAGTAGGTTGTTGTTTTCTTCCCCAGGCCTCTCAAAAATTAGGTCATCCGGCGGAGAGTGAGTAAAAGGTATAGGGGGACCCCTACTCCGGAAGACATGCCATAGTCTGGTATCCAGAACCCTCCATTAAGTCGCTTTATCGAGCGGCAAATTTCAATAATTTCTACCGCTTCCAAAATATATCTTTCGGTTCACCCTCACGACTCACGGCCTGCACGACTCTGGGGAGAGAGAGACCTGTAATTATGAAAATTAACAAACATTTTGGTAATTAATTTCGGCAACCAAAGGGTTACCTCCCAACGCCAACGTGGCACCCATAATCCCGCATCAATTAAAATGCAAAGTCCATAGTCCCCACCCAAAAGAAAACATGACTGACCGAGGTGCGTGTGACCACTAGTTGGATAAATATTAAAATAGACAAATATTCAGGGGATAAAATATTATGGAAATAGAAGATTTGAATACCCTTTTAGGCCTTTTGAAATGTGTTTCAATATTGGGTATGGTTTCTAAAATTTATTTAAAATATATAATTTATAGTTCAAGGAAAGTACATATATATTTCCTATTAAAGATTTTTTATAAACTCCATCTATTTTTATAAATTTTATTTACTTTTTTCTTTTGTTTACAAAATCTTTCAAAAGTACAAAAAATAATATTTAAATATTATTCATTTCATTGTAACTTTATACCCAAACGTGTCTGCCTAATTATGATTTCCATTAAAACTCACCCTCACAAAAAAGGGTATAAATATGATAATAGAAATCGCTTTAATAATTTGTGACACTCTTTGTCCATCAAGTTGGCCGTCAGGGTTTTGGCCATTAATTGGCGGTTTGACAGCTGGAAGACCTCAAAGCGGTTACCATGGCGTGGGTGTGATTCGGTAATTGAATCACACAACTCGCCTTACTTCTCTCAAAACAGTTGCTTTCAAAATACTAGGAAGAAATAAAATTAAATCAGGAAATAATAATAAGTAATATTACAGAAATTATAATGATTTTAAAGGTGTTATTTAATACTCTTAACTAGCGACTAGGATAGGTTATAGTGCGACAATCAAATAATAAAAACTTAAGATTACTAAATAAAAGAAAATCTTAAAAATTAGGCTACATAATTTGTAATTCTTTTACATTTACTTATTTAATAACAAATGAAACAAGAAAAGAAATTTACTACAGAAGGCCGAAGTATGTATGTATATGTATATACCCTTGCAGTTTGCAAAAGAGGTATAGGATCAAATCGGAAATCGATCAGATTTATGTTTAAAATATTCACATTCTTTGATTTTTTGAATTTATTGATATTTTATATGGCAAATCAAAATTTACAAAACTCATAACTAGGACAAAAAAGCATTAATTTCAATTCAGAAAGTTTTCATATCTTAGTTTTTATTATTTTAACAAATCTGGATACTCAGTTAAAAATTTATTACAAGTTTTTTTTAAGATTTAAGGGTCGGCGTCTGCAAAGGCGATATTTATCTACATATTTTTATGACAATTTTTCTATAGCCCACAGTTTAAAAAACTCATAACTTAGACAAGAAAGCATTAATTTCGATATGGAAAGCTGTTCTGTGCTAATTTTTAATAGGTTAATAAATCTGCATTTCTGTATTTAATTTTTAAAATATTACAATTTTTGTCAATTTTTCATAATGTCAACAATGTAAAAACCTGTTATAAAATTATGAAAAAATTTTAAAAATTTAATATTTTTCCTAGGTACCTAAAAAGATTCGCCTGTTGATGCTGATCAAAAATATATATGATTTATATGGTCGAAAATGACTCCTTCACTACGTTTTAAGCTTTTGACTGAAATTATAATACCCTGCAAGGTATAAATATTCGCATTCTATCGGTCGATATTTATATGACAATTTATCTATAAGTGACAGCTTAAAAAACTCATAACTTAATCAAGAAAGCATTAATTTCGATTTGGAAAGCTGTTCTGTGCTAGTTTTAATTAGGTTAATAAATCTGCATACCTAAATTCAATTTTTAAAATATTAAAATTTTTGTCAATTTTTTAGAATGTGAACAATGTGAAAACCTGGTCTAAAATTTCGAAAAAAAATTATCAAATTTATTTTTCTTTCCTAGATGCCTAGAAAGATTCGCCTGTTGATGCTGATCAAGAATATATATGATTTATATGGTCGGAAATAAATTCTTCACTGCGTTTTAAGTATTTGACTGTATTAAAATACAATTTTATTATTCAAAAATTACACTAAGAAAATTTTCTTAAATTAGCTTATAGTAAATGAAATATTTTAACTGCACTTATGGCATCATGGGTTCTATTTTTTCTCCCACAGCTGTACGTACATATGTGAAACATGCACTTAGCTCTATCCCATTCGGGGGAGTGTGTGTGTGTGCAAAAAGTGTACTCTTTGCGACCAGGACAGTGAAAATGTGCAAAAAAAATCGTGCTGGCCCGACGACCGGTTTTTGGCCAGTTTCTATGTTAGTGGTCAAGGTCTAAGGAGCATCAGACATTCGGACATCGGACATCGGACATCGGACATCGGACATCGGACATCGGACATCGGACAGAGGAGCGGCTGAGGGAATGCAGCCAAAGCGGAATAAACAATAACAGCAGGCTGGCAGCAGTAGAAGCAGCAGAAAAGAGCTGCAAAAAGCCAATGCGAATATATATAGAAATGGGCAACAACAATAAAAACCACAAAAGAGCGGAAAACAGAACCAAAAGGAGTCACGAGAATTGCATAAACAATGTATGTACAAAGTCTGACAGGGTATAAATGTACATAAATACACATAAATCGAGTTGTATATATAGCAGGGTCCCAAAGTCATGACAGGGTACCTCAAGACGACATTGAAAATAAACTTAAATTCAATAAGAATCAGTTAAATATTAAAGGTAGTTTCTTCAAAGCTTAAGGGTAAAATATTTATTTAAAATTATTATAGCAATAAAGCAAATAATTTAAGGCATCAGTAAAAATTAGTTAAAGTAACATCTAGCTCAAATTATGTTCTTTGAATTATTTTCCATGAAATATTTAATATATACTTTATACTAAAAACACCGTTTTTTTTAGCTGAGATATTAAAATTTAATAAATATAAAAATCCTCATCAGCAGCTTTATGGTAACATAAAACAAATATTTTCTCTATAACTTACAGAATATATAAAACATATTAAAAATATTTATAATATACATAACAAATTATTTATATTACATAAACAAATATGTTTAATATATTAAAAAATATTATCAAATTCAATACCATTAAAGCACGTATAAAATTCTTGCCAATGTTTATTCCCATGTTAATTTGTATTAATTATTTATAAAATATAAATAAGTATATTTTTCTTGCTAAAAAATAACCACTTAGTTGAAAAGTTCTTATTTATATAATATATTTAAAATATTTTTAATAAGTGTTTGTTATTTTTCTTAAAACGTCCTTTGTAAATTATCTATGTTTAGTTAACCTGAAAGATCATACCTAAATTATTATTATTATTACTTTTTCTAAAACACTTTCTTTAGATTTACAATTTAAATACTTTTCTTTAACAAATTCTTTCACTAGCTATTATTAAATATTCGAATTTCCACAGGATGTAACACCCTGCTTTTCCTCACAAGGGGCACACAGCACATGCATCATGCAACATGCAACAGCGGCGTGATTGCAACGCAGCGAAATAAAAAAAAGCACCATCTAAACAGGCATATGTGCATCGTTAAAAATAAAATAATAAACTGCATATATTAAAGGGAGAACTGCAATGGTGTTTGTGTGTCAAAAAGGGTTGCCAAACCACTCCTCGAAGTACATAAGAAATACACACACACACACACACAGAGGGCAGGAGAAATCCCTATTGAAAATATATACATTTTTTCCAGCCACAACAACTGGTTTTCGATTACGTCGTCGTATGGCTCATCCCCCCTCTAACCAGAGAAGCCAAAGGTTGTCTTATCGATCCTCAAAGCACAGAGGCACTTGACCAAAAGTAAAAACTAAAAACCAAATCCCAGATCCCGATGCCAGATCCTCAAGAGAGATTCGAATAGGTTTTGGTAAAACTATCGATGCACGTCCACGTCTCCGATTTCTAACTACTGCATTAATCGTCACAATTTCAACTGTCAGCTGTCACTCACGATAAAAGTTTTTTTCGGGGGTTTTGACTATAATTTGCGACACTTGACACGCACACATCAGCAAACAGCTTCATTAAAATTAATTAATGCTTAGGCACACCTTAGATACACAATGAGAAAGGAGTTGAAACTAGCTGAAGGTAGGGATAATAATTTATTTTTGTAGGGGTTTCTTTTTCAGTTTTAACTTGGGTACTTTTTAGTTTCTATTTAACGAGACTTAGATTGTATATATACGTTCTTAAATAAATAATTTATCCACAAAATAAATAAGATATAACATAATATAATAAAGACATATTCAGTTTGTCAAATAATTCTTTGCTAAACGAAATACTTTAATTCCAGCCATAAACATTAAAAAAGAAAATATTGTTTAGATTAAATATTCATCATCGTTTTTAAGAATTAATTTATTTATTTATTTATATATTATTTATTTATATATTTACTTGTCTTTATTAAAATTTCCTTTTAAACGAACAGCAAAAAGCATAAATACGAATTAAAACAAGAAGCTTACAAGATTTCTTTAACGACCTTTAAATATTATTCATAAATATATAGGGCATTTAAAAAAATTTTTAAAAATGCTATATGTATGCTACAGACATAAAATATTATTAAAGTAATAAAAAAGAAAGTTTTTACATATTAGTTGCATTTTTCTAGGTGTAAAAACTCATAGAAACACCTCTAGGACCCCCAAAAACTGTGTGGGGGGCAGCAGGGAAATCGACATCATTAGGGTCATATCAGTTTCCAGTGTTTGTACCTCATCGGGGCAGCCGAAACAAAAAAAAAATGTGCACAAATTAAATTAAATGAAGTGAGTGTGAAAATGCTGCAGGTGAAAAGCAGGGAGGGGAAGGAGAACTATGTGGCTCAAACGTTGAAACGCCGAAATAACCAAACGGCGGGGCCTGGTCAAAAGGAAACACGCTCAAGTGACTTCCAACTTGCCACCAAAAATAAACCAAAAAAAAAAAATTAAAAAAAGAGAACCCACCTTCATTTGGTCACCTGTACCCTCTGGTGTCTGCCTGTTGATGTTAAATCAAGATAAGCAAATTGTTGCCGAAAAAGTAGAGGCACAAAGGAAGCGATTTGGACGTTTTAATGATGATAGAGCATGACACAGAATAAATGAAAATTAAGTGTGGAAAAAAAAATTCATTTAAATTGTGGAATCAGCAGAACTGCCCAGAAAAAGTTGTTCAAGAGATTCGCTGCTCTTGATTAATGGATTTGAAAGGATTATGTGAAAACACCCTTGGAGAAAGATCCAATGACAGGCACAATTGTGTTCAAGTGAATTTATTAATTAAATAAATTCAATAAGAAATTATTTAATATCTCAAATATATTATTATCAATTCATATATTTTAAATAATCATAATATAATTATCATTAAAATGATTAAATAAGGGGAAGAGGGGACGGAAAGGTGTTGGTTGGTTGCCATCCCACAGGTAAAGGAACCGCTCCCGGTCCAAAGGGTTCCATTTCTTCCATATTCATCGGACACAATGGTAGCTCTCCATTATCCTCCTTCGCCGACGGCTCATCAACGTATGGATTCAAACGAATTTGTTGATTAATCCAATCATGAACCTTGGCCACATTAGTGTAGACATCGGGAAGGGCATCCTGTCCGCAATGAATGTGCCAATTGACAATGCCCACCTGCTGGAACTTCGAAGGATCTCTGACCAAAGGACATACAAGTGGATAACCATCTTGTTCGCACATATTCCTTCCAACTCCTCCGCCGGCACACATCAGGCTACCATCGACCTCGAAGGATGCTCCAAGCCAACGTCGAAAGTCCTGTTGACAGGTTGCAGTTGGCACTATCTGCATTGGGAATGTCCCCATACCCGATCCTTTGGCAATGCATTGAGTGAGATCCAAGTTCCTTACCGATGTGAGAGTGGCCAGAGTAATGGGTTGAATTTCGGTGGTGAATTTAACAGGTTTCTTAAGGAACAATAAGGCCAAGTTGTAGGCCCCCGATGTACGACTGAAGTTGGGATGGCGCACAATCGACTTGACACCATATTCCTTGAATGACTCCATACTAGGATTAAAGGACACTCGGATCTCGCTCACATTCCGATCTTCAAATGGTTTCCAAGCAGTGAGCACCACATGGTTGGAGATTAGGGATCCACCGCCAAGAGTTTGGCTGCACGTCCAAATGGCAACAAGAGATGAAAAGTTCTCCCGGCTGTCCGATTGCGTGCCTTCTAGGGCAAAGTTCCAGGCCTGGGCACAGGAGTAGGCCAGGATGAGACACAGGATCGAAAGTAAACTCCTGAATGGTGACATCTTCAACACTTGTGTTTCAATAATTCTCTGATGACTCTGGGACCAAGTCTCTCATTATTTATAGTGAGACTCATTAGCGAAATGCTGATGTTGATAAGAAATATTGCATTTCAAAAGAACAGAGTTTCTGTCGAACTTTGTTTACTAAATATAGACATTCAACAAGAAATGAGATAAGCTTCAATTGATACATAATTATAGACACAATCAGTAGGTTTCCAAATAAGTATTTGCAGATTTGATTCCCAAGAATTATATAATAACTTTATATATATTATAATAATAAATAATATATAATTATAATAATAATAATAATTATTATTTTAAATTCTTTATGTTTATATATAGAAGTAAAAAATCCCAAAAAAGAAAATATAATCAGATCACTACATATATCTTCATAGATCTCTATCAGTTCTAGGTAAATATTCACTCACTTTTTATTCCCAAATTATTTTTTGAAGAATTTTTTTATCTTTAAAGAAAATATTTCCAAATCATTATAACTCGAAACGATCATAAAAATTAAGCAAATTGGATCCACGTCCTCTACACATGTATTCGCACATTTTGTAACTTTAGGCAGCTCCTGATGTTTCTCATAAACAAAAGTTTCGATAATTATTATAATTTTGTTTTATGCTCCGTTTGCTTGCACTTCTCATCCCTCTTTTTGGGTTTTGATCGTCTGCCTGTCAAATTGTCGTTGTCATAAAAAAATATGTCCAAAAATGTCAAAAAAAAATATGAGTAAACGTCAAGTGTGTGTAAATGGTGGGTATATATGTACACTGAAAACTTAAATACTTAAAAACATATATAAAATTATATAGTTTTAAAGCAGGCAAAACTAAATTTTAAATAGCTTCTTTATATGAATTTCTTACAATATGTAAGACTTTATTAGTCTAGTACTAGTAGTCTATTAGTAGTAGTCTAAAATTAGTCTTAGGCACAGTTCGATATAAGAAAAATTATATTTATTTATCGCACATATGTATATATTTATCTCAATGTTAAGATATCGACTATCGAAAAAATATCGAAGAAATATTAAATAAATTCTTATAAAAGAAAGATACCTTAGTTAAGATACTTCTTATTTCAGTGCAATTATACAAAGGTGTGTTTTTACTATATTTTGAATATGCACCTTTTCTTGATATTAATTTTTTGTGGTTGCTCAACCTGTTTCACCTGGACGAGCTTCCCCTGAAAACCCCGAATAAAAACTGTGGGCATGGTTCGTAACCATCATGGTTATTATAATTATAATTTGGTGTCTGCTCTTTTGGGGTTTCCTTTTGACAAGAACAGGGGCAAGTGCATTTAATACTGGATAAAGCAGATTTAATTTATCATTTTTTTTTTTTAATTTTCATTTAGAGAGACAGAGCTTCCTGTTATCCTTTTTGCTCCACTCTTTTGGGAACCCCCTTCTAAGCAGCAGATTCTTAATGGGCAGCCAGGCGTCTCAAGGTCTTCTCTGTCAACTGATAAAGAGATAATGTTGCACAAAAAAACGCAGAGAAGAGAATATAAGAAGAAGATTTGCAAAAAGTGAAGTAGCAACTGTCTGCCACACACTCGCACACACACTCAGTAACAGAGAGTCATGATATCATCGAAGAAACAGAAACAGAAAGCACCGAAGAAGACTGCAAAAAATACAGGCAAACCGCAGAAGCAGATATTCACGATAAAGTAGGAGGAGAAGGGGTCCATAAAGGGGGAGTACACTAAAAGAAAATATGCATAATTATTCTGTATTAAATTCTGTTATAATAGATATAAGTATAACGAGGTTACTTAACCTACTTATGAAACTAAAAATCTTGTTCTGCTATTATTGAATTGTTTTATATATACAAATATTTTGTAGTTATTCCTAAATGTCACCAAAATTTATATATATATATTTTTTTTAATATCAAAAATATATTTTCTTAGTAAGAAAATAAAATTAGTTGTCAGTTTTACCTCCCAAATTCTGATAACTAAAATAATTTCAAAGATCATATAGATCATATATTTAATACTTCCTCTTCTCTGAATCATAATACTCTGAATCTTATATAGCTCTATCTTTAAGATTTCAAAATATATTTAAATATAAATAAGTACAATATTACATCATAGTTTTCTTATTATATATTTCGTTCAAAGACTATATACATTTTTTTTCTTACTGTAAATACCCCAACTGACAACCGAAAGAGACGGCTAAAGACTCATTTATATCCCCACTCCTCGCACACTCCTCTCAAACACACACACACACACACTGGCACATCGGGGCAAGTTCAAGTTTGAGAGGCAGGATAGGATCCCATTCAAGGCCCCCAAACCAGCAGACAGCCGAAGCAGAACAATGGGCGACGTACTGAAAAGGGGTACTGAAAAAAATAAAAATAAAGAAAACAAAAATAAAAAAATTGCAAACAAGTTTCGCTTTTATTTAGTGCCCAACAACAACAGCGCCAACTTTGCAGATTCCCCCCATATCACACTGGCGCAGAATTCCACTCCACATACTATATAGCCTTATATAGCAAGGCAACTTGGCTATGTATCCAACTTTATACACCGATCTCTGGCGATCCATTGGATGCGAACGAATGTTCCAGCTTTACGTGCCACAGCATAAAAATGGAACAGGCAGCTGAAAGTGAGGATACAATTGTGGTTGGAGTTATAGGATCTATTGAAAAATACAGATATTTTGAAGGGATTTATATATTTTAAATAGATATATCTTTTTTCTGTTCATTCTAAGTCAATAAATCAAAGAGAAGTGATCAGAAATTATCTATATATCGAATCTTTTCGATAGCAATTAAACAATATACTGAAACAATATACGAAAGTAAGCTTTTAGGAATATTGTATGATAATATCAATAATATTTTTCGATTTACCAAAGTTTTTGACCTCTTTGATCAGGAAGTAACTTAATATATACAAATTTATGATATTTGTTCGATATAAAAAAGTTTATGATATTAAAGTCGTATGTATATGATACATGCAGGATACAACTTTGATTTTTATAATATTATTGTATGTTCCTTTATTGTGAAATACCTTCCGAATACTTTGCCTTTATTTTAACCATTTTGAAGTTTACTATATCATATCTTATCCGAATGAGATAAACCTAGGTTTCTTGGAAGCCCTATTACGTAGCTTTATAATGATACAAACATAAGCATTCTGAAGTTTAGTATATGCCTAAAAAATTCTTGTAATAAGATATATAGAAAAAGGTATCTTAAAAGCTCTATTATCTAGCTCTATAGCGATACCCGCATCTGTAGAAGAAGCAGCCAAAAGCGAAGGCGATCGCACTTAATGCTCCACTGATTGCACAACGATCGTTGAAAGGGAGAATGCAATATACAAGAGGCACCAAGAGGATTTCAGGGGTATTTAAGGGGCATTTAGAGGGGTATACATATACCATGGAGGAGGGAATGATGCAGAAGACACAATTGTAGCCCACAGTCGGTGTCAGTAGGTAGATCCCCATTCCGACCATCATCATCATCATCGTCGTGATCTCTGCACTACATATAGTAAGTAGTATATGGCATGTGCATCTATGTGTGTCACAAGGAGCTGAAATTAAAGTAAGGCAGGAGGTTTCTCGGACTGCCGACATGTGCGGATAAAATAGATGCCCCTCTGCCTCTACTTCATATAAGATTTTCCACCTTTAAACAAAAAAAACCGCATACAATGGGCATTTAATTATTTAACCCTTCCACAATTCCCCGCAAAGACAGACAGCCTAACCAACTCCATCTGGTTGCAACTTTGTTGCAATCTGGTTGAAAATTTTTGAGTAGACTAAGGGGTACCCAAAATTTTAAAGGAATAATTATCAATTGATTTATTCAAGGAGTTATTTAAAATGTACTATATTATAATAATACTTGAATAAAATAGAATTAAATATTAATCTTGAAATTAAAATAGAAGAGTTGAAGGGAGGAAATTGAAGATTATAGTTCTTACAAGTTATTTTAACCCTCTGGAATATTACTCTAATATATCTTTTCACATAACTCTTGTACTTTAAAACTTGTTGCAAAGATTCCGAAACCACCTTTAAGCCTCCTTAATACCGATTGTAATGAAAAGTGATTTCTCAGCCATGATGAGGTCTCCTCTTCCAGCTGCCGGCTGATTAATCGCGAATCGTGATGAGGCTATCGGCTTGGGATCACGTTCCAACTCCAGCTGAGATCTCATCTCTCCCTACTCTCCCTGCCAGCGGAGGATACTCCACAGCCTTTTTGCGTGATTGCGTTATAAATAGTACATCGGTGTATTTAGATCTTAACTCAGAGATATATGTGTATATATATATATAATGTATATGATGCCTTTGGGCCCTCTGTGGGCGGTGTGGGGTCGTCAGAAAACTGATGAACTGCAATGGGAAAATGGAATTCTTGACGTCCGCTAATTGGAGTCCTCGCCCCGCCGACATTCTTAAATGATTTATTCCAAATATTTACACTTGCTTCTGGGCCTTATAAATCTCTCCCCGACAAATGCCATTTAAATGTTTTGTTTTTTGTCACGCGATTGGGGCTGGGTAGAGGGTTCCCCATTATAGTGGCTTTCCTCTAAGCATGTGGTTTTTATTTCATCGTGACACAATGTCCAAGACCCCCAAACGAAAATAAATATAAATATAAGTGTCAAGTTCTGACTGAGCTCTGTTTGGATCAGCGATCGCCATAAATAATGATATGGTTTCGAAAACCACTTGAGAGAAACTCTTTTGTATACACAGAAATATGAGTGTATTGGAAAAAATATATAAAAACCTGTAAAGAAATATTTGTGCTAATATTCATGGCAGTAGATTGAAGATGTATCTTTTAATACTTAGAGTGCTCCTAAAACTATAAAATATATTTATGGTTATATAGTGAAAATATAAACGTTAAGAATTTTCTTATATTATATAGGTTAATCCAAGGTTTTTA